GTAGCCCGCAACCACAGAGTCTACAAGAGGTGCTGTAGTGGCTTCATGAATTTCCATCTGAAAATATACTAACATATCCGAGGAAATGTCGAATATCCTGTTGTACTTTTGGCTTTCAGTGAATCAACCGCAGACACCACATTGCTCACCTGTGAGGAGTTCGGTCCAAATGCCGCATCGAACGAGAACTGCCTCTCGTGTTGCCGATTCTGACGCAGTATATTGTTCTCATACTTTTCCGGATCGACAAGCAGTAATCGCTAAATCACGCTCACATTCGGATTAATCAGAATACAATCATGTCGTATATTGAACTGTGTTTTGAATGGCTTACTGCATGTTGTGTGAGGGCAAAAGAATGAAAAAAGAACACCTGGGTACCTGTTTGTCGAGTTGAAAAACGCATTGGAAATGCCGCTTCTCCTTTTCAGCGTTACTGAGTGGCCGCACACGAACGACGACCTTCAAAAGTTATACTTCGGAGAGCTGACATTGTGGAAAATGCAGGAGGTTTTTTGAAAATTTTACACAAAATTTATCTTCGCATACTGAATTTCCCAATATTTTTGATAGTATGGCAGTACACACCTGGTATCAGCGTTTCTGCGTTGTTGGAAGATAATTTAATAATTTTTCCTTACTGAGATATATAAGGACAAGATATAGAAAATAATCTGTTGTTAATCATTCATCCAGGCCACGCCTGCACTTCCGAAACTTTTGGTTTCGTATAATTGCTTCTTTAATTACCAGTCTTGCTTCTGTTAGCAGGTACTAATGCACAAAGTCCATTACTTTATATAAGCTACCAACGCAAGAAAAAGCAGTGCTTCCCACGAGGTGTACTTTGGCCTTGTTTTCAATAATGACTACATGTGCTTCGATTCAATGTGTCAAGAATGCCTCATAAAAGCTTATATTTGTTCCTGGGTCAAATCGATTCCGGGAATTCTAATATAGGGCAATTATGTCTTGTGTGTGGCGCTGGCGTCCATTGAAGACTCTCGTACACCTCCCACAATTAAGCAAAAAAAAGTATAGACAATCACTAGTACGATTTCAGCAAATTATTATGAAGCTGATCATGCCAAATTGGCTTGAAAATGCTAATTCAGTAGAATTTTCTAGGTAAAAAAAAATTGTAGGAAATCTATTAGCAAGCAATCTAACAACAACATTTTATAATTCCTTTTCGTAGATGACTTCTGCCACGACAGCAACACATCCGTTTATTAAATGATAGAAACGCTAATCCGAGTCTACAAAAACCAGTAAATTCTCTACACAAAGGAAATGGATATAGATAATAAAGAGAGAAAAACCGTCTTCCTCATTTCTATTTCGAGCAGCTTAGAAAGCACGCAACGCACGCAATGTCTACAAAAAACCATCTTCATGAGCAGACATCTTGCACTGATCTATGTTTCTATGTTGCTAGTATACAATAGCTAGAGATGTTACCAGTTTTTTAACTGCTAAGAATGGCTACTGAGTATAGACTTTGTAATATGTCACGTCAACAATAAACTAAGGGTACACGACACTAAATGGTACATGAAGTTGACCAACACTAACCGTAAGCTTTGAACTGCTCATGGCAGGCCAGACACTTGTTCGCACATTGCGGCAAACTAGCGAGTGTCCGTAAAGTTGTGTTTCTCAAGTCACCCTTGTTGCCAAGTAACAGTAATAGGCATTTAAAATCCGCGCCGCCATGCTTTAGATTCGCAGGAGCAGCGCGCCGCTTTGGTCTTGGGGAGCGGCTGTTGTGACGTCAGCCCCGCACGCGCCGCAGATTTTAGATGAACTTGAATCAACTATTGATCACGTTTTCCGT